CTCTTTCCCCCGCCCCACGCTGCTTCTGAAATGGGACTTCCACAGGCCTGGCCCTGAGCACCGTGTGCAGCACTGCCGCCCAAGGATGGGAACAGCAGGGCCACAGAGAAAGAGGTAGGACTGTCCCCAGTGCCCAGGCAGGGCAGCCCGCACAGGCCAGTAAGGCTGCTGACCAAACAATCTCAGCACGGCAGGGATGGGTGAGTGAGGCCAGCACCTAGGACCCACCCTACAGGCACCTGATCTTCTCAGGTCTGCAGAGAACCCTGGACTGGGGAGGGTGACAGGGTCCCACTTGACCTGAGCTTTTACCACCCTGGACAGGGGGGCAGGAGGGCAGACTTTGGAGCCCTGGGTTCTGGAATCTCAGAAAGGATGGGAGTGAGTAGGGACCCAGGCACTCAGCTGATGATGGAGACAGAAAGAGCCTCCCCAGAAGCAGCCTTCTAAGTCCCTCATGGTGGCCCCCAAAGGGCTTTCTGTTCTTCTGGGGCCTGCGGAGGAGACCAGGGCTAAGCCAGCTGCTCTGGGAGCCTGGGAGGGGCCAGCCTCTGTTCTCTGCCTAGGAGAGGGGCTCCCCGCAGCAGTCTCTCCCTGCGCTGCCCTGACGGGCACCAGGACTGAGCAGGGAGCCCGTCAGACAGGCGGTCTCTGGGCCAGCGCTGTCGGGAGGGGTGGCTGCAGGGGGAAAGTGGAGGGACTTGTGAGCCGCTCCAAGACCTCAGAAACCCAGCAAAGCCCAACTGAGCAGCCAGCAGCAGCTCTGCCCTCCTAGGGCCCCACAGAAGGTGTCACCCCTCAGCCCCAACTGAGCACTGAAGGTCCCCCTCAGGCCCTGGGTACCCAGAAGCTTCTTGAAGGGCATCCTAAGGGTCCCACGCAAACCTGTCCTCTTGCGAGGATTTGGGGACGCATGCTGCCACAGCAGCAAAGCCAAGCCGCACGGGGTGAACAGCTGGCAGGAACCAGAGGAGCCAGGGCGACACAGCCCTTCTCACCTCTCCAGCCTCCTCTCACCACATCCCTACTTCCCTCCTCACCCCCCGACAGTTCTGCCTGTTCTTTCCACGCATGGGGTCTTCATTTACAGCCTGAGCACACCACTCCTTCTATCTGGAACAGTCTTTCCTGCGTCTCCTCGCTTTCCCACTCGTTTGGCAGGTCTCACCTTGGATGTCAGTTCCTCCAGGGAGCCTTCCCCACTCCGCCCTCCTCCGGTCTGGGTTAGATCCCCCGCCCCTCTAGTAGGACTTCCAGGGCATCCGACTCTTTCCTCCAGCCCTCACCCTTGGTGGCAGCTGCTACCTTACTCACCTGCCAGGCAGGACCCAGGTCCACCTTGCTCAGCACTGGGGCCCATGCCCCAAGCCCAGTGATGGACCCTGAGCATGTTCTCAGTAAATATTTGTCAAACGAATGAATCAACAAATACAAGCACAAATAAAAGCCACTCCTAAATGCAAAGGGAAGGAGTTCTCCACCCAGCCCTGGCATTTCTCCCAAGAAGCTGCATTTGCACTGACCCCGTGTGTGTATGTGTGTGTGTGCGTGCGTGTGTGTGTGTATTTGTGTGTGCGTGCGTGTGTGTGCACGTGCGCGTGTGCGTGTCCATGCACGCTCAGGGTGCTCACCTCTTGCTCAACTCCTTCAGGGCTCCGCTTCGGCACAGGCCCAGGTAATCCCCCAGGAGCTTCAGCTGCTCCCGGCTCCTACCGATGAGGTGCATCCGCTCCACGTGCTCATACAGAGATGCATTCACCAGCTGCAGGTTGATGAGGGGCTGGGCCCGGATCCGCGTCAGGAACTTCAGGGCCTGCCTGCAGACCTGGGGACACCACCAGGCAGCGAGGGTGAGACAGGAGGGCCATTTGGTGAGCACCTGAGGGCCAGGCACTGTGTTACCTACTCACTCGCTCACGCCTCCCGCCACCTGCTGAGGGAAGTGGTACCATCTTCATTTTACGGATGAGGAAACTGAGGTTCAGAGAGAGGAAGTGACTTGGCCAAGGTCCACAGCTCGCACAAGTCATGATGTGAACCCAGTTTATCTGAATTCCAAACCCACTCTTCCCCCTTGACACCAGCCGCTGCCCCTCCTGACAGTGCTGGGACGGAGGAGGGGCTGCTCCGGTCAACACGCCTCTCCTCCTGGGCCTCACAGATCCTTCCCACTATTTCCTGTCGTCCCTGCCCCCCATCTTCCTGCCAAAAGGAAACAGGCACTACCCCACGCCGACTCAGGAACCAGGTGACGGGTGTGAGTCAGGCTCCAACCACAGTAAGCTACGGATCAGACACAGCTTAACTAGAGGTTTCCTGAGCTCCCTCCACCCCTGCCAGCAGCACCAACCAGGGCCCCCCAAGTCTCCATGTGGATTTGAGTGATCAATCTGGGCCTCTCCCACGTGATAGGATTTTGAAGGTTCTACCCTCAGCCCTGACCCTGATGCCAAAGCCAACTACTGAGCACCTACTGTTTGCCAGACGCTGGGCTAAGGACCTCGACCACATCCTCACAACAACCCAGAAGGGAAGGTGTCATCATCCCCATTTTACACATGAGGAAACTGAGACTCAGAGAAGCTAAAGTGGCTTACCCAAGCCACCAGAAGAAAGCAGAGCCCGGGTCTAAACCGAGGTGCTGTCTCTGCACACTTGGCTGCCTCACGTGCTAAAGAGGAGCCCCTCTCCCCTGCAGCCTCCTCCTTGCCGTGATAAGGATGGAGGAGCTGAGATGTTCTCCACCGTCAACCACCCTGCAGTGCTTAGGAGTCAGGCTTTGGCTCCTGGTTCACCCCTTCCCAGCTGTATGACCTTATGAAACTTACTTAACCTCTCTGTGACTCAGTTTCCTCATCTGTAAAATGGGGAAAATAAAAGCACCTACCTCATAGGATAATTTTGAGCTTAGATGAAAAGAAAATCCATGTAAGCATATCCTCAGTAAAGGGGAGCTGCCATCAGACTCTGTGAGTGGCTGTGTGGTCCTGGTGTCTGTCCCCTGGCTCAGGGGGATGCTAATAGGGCCCTCAGGAGACTGTTAGGCTGGGGGCTGCTCCACCAGCTTCACCAGCATCTCTCGCCTCCCGCAGCAGCTGACAACTCCATCTTTTCCCATTTCCCAGAGCCCTGAGGAACCAGCCCCCAGCCAATAGGCAGCCCAACGGCAAAAGCCTGGTGAGTCCGTGACTCGGGTCAAATTGCTGTTCAGGAATGTGTGCTGAAAACTGCCAAGTGCTGCTGACAGGCATGGGCTTTGAGCTCCCCAGGGACTGTTCCTCCCCCGTGAGTGTGGAGGAGACAGACAAAGAGAGAAGCCCCAGGCCTGGGCTGACATCCTGCCAAGTAGTGCCAGCCGGACCTTGCACAAGTGGGTCAGCCAGAGTGGTAACAGTGGACAAAGGGCCCTTAACCCGCCGATCGGCCACTTTCTAGTGTGAATTTTTGTGTCCTTCCCAAGCCCGGGATCTTTGAGAGAGCTGGATATTTCCTGACCTCAGGCATGCCAAGGGAAGTGTTAGAATTCTCCAGCTGGAAAAAGGAAGTGGCACCAAAATTACAGCAGTGAAAAGGCGGCGGCTCAACAGAGGTATCTGGGTGTTGTAAACAGTGAGGGTGTTTTATGGGCAGAGGGTTCTTTGCATCTGTGGTGATATTGAGGGTTTAATTTTCTCCATGTAGTTAGTTAAACACTTAACATTGAGGGCAGGGGTGGGGATGAGGTAACCAATCAAAAAGCCAAAGGGAAGCTAATGTCTTTGGAAGGTTCTCACCCCCAGTGGGGTGGAGGTCAGGGTGGTGCGGGCTCTGAGAACCATGTTCCCTGGACTCTGATGGGGACATGTGAAGACACCTCCACATAATGAGACAGCACGGCCGGCAGGCCTGGGTCTTGAGAGAAGCAACCAACCTCTTCCCGGTGTTTCTGTGTCTTGTCTTAGCAGAAATCTGTGCCTTTGGAAGAAAGCCAAGTTTGAGCCCCTTGAGGCAGACCCTCAAGCAAATTAGGGGCAGAAGGTGAGGCCTCAGGGCACTAATGTAAGGCACCATCTAAGTGACTGGTGGGTACTGTCTCTTTTAGTCTTCACACAGCCTGGGGACAGACACTGTTATTAATCCCCCTTTACAGATGAGGAAACTGAAGTTAAATAGTTTGCTCATGGTAACACAGCTGTGTAAGTGGGTAAGCTCAGCCTAAGAGGAAAATCTGAAAGATCATAGAATACATCTTATGCAGAAGCATTTGGTGAACATAAAAAAGTACCCAAGATGTAATACTAACTAAACAAAGCATGTTATAAAGCAGTATGAGTCCAGTATGATCCCAAACTTTACAAAAAGTAGATGCAGGAGCTTGTAATCTTGGGGGTGGGGAAGAAAGGCTAAACAACCGAATAAAGATGATTTAGAACGGTGAAAAAAAAAAAAGTAGATGTATATGTAACATGGAAAAATGCTCCCAGGGAAAGTGCAGCCAGCTGGCTAGCCCATCCATCCATCCACCCACCCACCCCCCCACCCACCCATCCATCCACCTACCTACCCAACCATCCACCTACCCACCCATCCATCCATCCACCCACTCATCCTTCCATCCACTCATCCACATCTACCCACCGATCTACCCATCCATCCATGCACGCATCTACCCACCTAACCCATCCACCCAACCATCTATATCTAATCTATCCTATCTATCATTTCCATCTATGTATCTAGTTGTTGGTGCTTTAAACAGTTTTATCTGTATCCATGGGGAGCTGCAGCAAACCATCCTCAGATTCCCACCTGAGGACCAAGGTAGGCACTGACAGAGCTCTGTCCAGGGGCTGGAGACCAGCACCCAGTTACTTTCTTGGTCAACTCCCCCACATCATGGGGCCTGAACTAGTGACCCGGGCTTCCCTAGAGCCAAACTCCCCCAAACATATGAACAGCAGCCACAAAGAGGAGCGACCCCTCCTCTGTCACTCGGCAGCCCTGTGCGGCCACGGCAGGGCTCCAGACTTACCGGGCGCTTGGTGAGGTCCCAGTTGTGGATGATCCTGGCCGGGATCACTGAGGCATCGTCTTGATGGCAGATGTCACAGTAATAGAGGCCAGAGAAGGCACAGAGCTTGGGCCGTACAAACGAGAAGCCGATCTGCCGGGAGCAGCCTGGGGAGACGAACAGGGAGAGGGTGAGCAGCGGTGGGGACGGAGTCAGCTCCTGAGTGACAGGGAAGCGGCCAAGGCAGAAAGGGCCCGCTATCTAAGGAAAGTATCCATAGAAAGATTAAAAAGGAGAGTACGAAGGTGAAACCCACCACCGCTCATATTCCCACCAGTCAGAATCAACCCTATTAATTAATTAATCTTTACGACAAAACACTGTTAAGAATTATCAGCGGCATTTCACAGCTGAAGAAGCTGATGCACAGAGAGGTCAGGAAACCTGCCCAGTCACACAACGATTGAGTGGCACAGCTGGAGTCAGACTTGGGTGGGGCTGGTGTAGAGCCCTCATTCTCTTATTCCCAGCTGCCTCTCTTCACTGCTTGCACAATGCCAGCCTCCTCTAGGTCCGCTCATCCATGGCGGCCCAGAAATGGAAGCCACGGAGTCAGGGTCTCAGCAAGCAGGGCAGGAGCTGGGGACATGGGGCTGGCCACAGGGAGTGGGTGGGGAAGCCAGCCAGAGACAGGGCTGTCTGGACATGGCCTGGTGCCAGCTGGAAGCCACAGCTGCCTGATACCTCGGGACAGTGGTTCAGGGCCAGCTTCAGTCCCTCTGCTGGAGGGCCCTCCACAGTGGGGCAGGGGAAGGTGGGGGAACCGGGAGTGGGGTGTGCCCAGGGCACAACAAAGGCCTGGCTCGAATCCTGAGCACAGGCCCTGCCTCCTACAGGG